CAGTTCAAAGTTACTTTCTTTGGCAAGGTTCCAAAGTAGTTATTCTATACCATAGATTAAGGACACACCTACATGTTTTAAAATCACCCAAGAGAAAAGGTAGGATTGAAATTGTTTTACAAAAATGAAGAAGCTGACCCAGGACTTGTTGCTTGAGTGAGAGTGTCATCCACACCTTTGCAGAGTGACCTGTAGCCATGCCTGTGGGCAGGGCTAGGGCCAAGGCTTTCCATAGAAAACTGTTCTAAGTCAGTCCCAACACCTGAACAAATAATAATCAAGCTTCAAAATTCCACTCTGGGAAGCATGAGAATAACGAATATGTCTAAGTAACAGTTTCTAATTTTTCTTCATAGCCAGAGAAAATTTTCCATGTAATATGGATAAAATGTTGAATTTTAAGCTAGTGGACTCTAAGAAAAAATTAGTTGCAAATTGTGTCCCTAAGTGGTTAAATATGTTTTAATACATGCCTGCAGTATACTTGAATTTGGTCAGTTACATTTTGGTGAACTTGGGTAAGAAGTGATGATTTTGGCTTTGTGGTAGTTGATGTTACGCCATTTTTCCTGTTGAAAGATGGTAAGAGGTTTTGTTACTGAGGCCATTCCTGTGAGGCACTGAATAGCAAGCTGACAGAGTCCTTGTTATCTTACGGGAATTACTCCAGCAAAGGCTGGCTTCCTGTTTGCCTGTCTCCCCCTTCTCCCTCCCCTTGAGATCTGACCTTTTAATAAACCTGGGATCCTGAGATCTTTGTAAAGGAGGAATTTATGCTCTTATTTTGCTGATAAGTGGTTAGCCATGAACCTTCAAAGCACCATGGCAACAGAAAGTGTTCTATAAACAGCTTTGTACCAGATATAACTGGCTTAGAAAGTGTTCTATAAACAGCTTAAGCACCATGGCAACAGAAAGTGTTCTATAAACAGCTTTGTACCAGATATAACTGGCTTAATCAGTATAATATGTTATTTTTACTGGCTTATAAAAAGAGCCTAAAATAAACTAAGGTGCTTCACACATCAGCAGCCTGGGAAGTCCTTTTAACCTCATAAAAGTGACTCCTCATTAATTCCCTACCATCTCCCCTCTGGTACCAATCCTCTACACATTCCTAGAGTCTTGACAGTGTGGAAGAATATATTTTTCTGTTCTCTTTAGCAGCAAGCAGATATCTAGATCACCTAAAAGTGGTTTCAGATGATTAAGAGGCTGGTTAAAAGTGAGAACCAGAGCACATATCTCTCAGTTTTCTCATCTGTATAATGGGGATGTTACTATCTACCTCATAGAGTTATGGAGTTTAAATATATAAAAGCGGCTGGAGTAGTGTCTAGAACATAGTGTCTAGAACACTCAATGTATCTTAACTGCTATTATTGCTGTTATTTCTCAGAATTTTTGTTTGATTTAACAAAGCAAGTCCTGCTGAACTTGACTCCATAAAGATAACAAAAGGCAGGTTTTCTAGAAGAATCAGTCTCTACAGGGTCTCCTGAATTAATGTACCACATAGTTCAGACTGGGACTTGTGCAGAGTTACAGGCCAAGGAAAGATTGGTAATTAATGTTGCAAACTGTATTAATATTGTTGTTTTGCTTTGTTTTGTTTTTTGGTGGCTGGCTGGTACAGGGATCGAACCAATATTGTTTTTTTTTTTTTTCCTTTTTTGTCTTTTTTACTGACCGGTAATGGGATTGCAACCTTCGGTGTCACGCCCGTACCGGGGACTGGCAACGGGATCGCAACCCTCGGTGTTGCGCCCGCACCGCGCTCAGCCAGTGAGTGGGAACCGGTCTCCACATGGGATCTGAACCCTCGGCGGGAGTGCTGCCACACTCCCAAGCGGCGCACTCTCCAGTGCGCCACCGGGCCAGCCCAAACCAATATTGTTTTTGATGGATCAATACAGAGGCTGATAGAGCATAATTGGAGAATAACTGTCTCTAATGCCCGATAGCTTCTCAGAAGAAAAAATGGCTTTAGAAAGTCAGATTTTAAATTTGTTAACTAGGAGTGGAAGATAGCTCTTTTAAAAATGGCAATGATTTTACTGAGCTCATTCATTTTAGATCTTACCAGTTTTATTACTGGAATAAGCAGTATTCTGCCAGGATTTGGAACACACCAGTCATATTGAACTTTGGACATTTGGAGGTCCAGGAAGTTTTCACTGGGGCTTGACATAATTTGGGTATCATAACATTGAGGCTAGGAGTGTGGGCTTTGCAGATGGACATGTGCTCAAGCAAGTTCCCTGATCTCTCTAAGCCTCAGTTCCCTTGTCTATAAAAACAGCATAACTGCATCTACTAGAGTTGTTGGGAGGAGACAAATAAGAGAATACAAATAAAATAATTAGTACAGTGTTGAACACATTGTTGGTAGATATTATTAGTGTACTTTAATTCTACATGTATAGAGAGATCCTTTTCCAGAATTGGATAGAGTAGGGCCTGGGAAGATTGACAAAACTGCCCACAGATCATAAAATTGAGAAAATTAAGCCTCCTCGAAGTCTAGATTTAAGGTCTAGAGTTCTGTCATCTCAATCCCAAATCAGATCTCATTATTGATTTTATAGCTGAGGAGGCAAAAGCCACTTTAACTAAGGCCTTGATTTGATAAGCTCTAGGCCAGCCACCCTTTTATATTTGCTGTGATGTGCCACATGATTGACTTGTCCAAGCTTTTCTTTGCTGTCCCCTCAAGCCAAGAACGAGACGGCCAGGGCCCAAGTTTGCCAAACATGGGCCTAATGGATAAAGCCAGCTTTAAAATCTCCATATACATACAAAATCTCTTTAATAATCTTAAAACACAAAAAAAACTGTATAAATAAAAATAAAAAAACAAAAACCGCAAAATCTTAAAATATAAAAATTTTAAAGTAATAAAAAGAAGCACAAAAGGTAAATGAAAAATTAGAAAATAAAATAAAATTTTATTTTAAAGAAAAAACCAATTTGAATTTTTAATGAAAGTAAAAGTAGAAAATATTTAAAAAAGAAGGCAAGAACTGAAAAAGACATAAAATAGTGCAAGTTAGAACAGAATATTAAAATAGGGAAGAGCTGTACAGTTATAGAAGATGTTTCTAGAGGTTTATAATGATAAAGAATAAACTCAGATGAAAGTAGGCGAGTGGCATAATCTTAAAGTGGGTCCTCTAACCTAGAACAGTGTACCCAAGGAGGTTCTCAGCAGAGGCTGCTGAATTAATGATGCTGACCACCCTTCCTGCAGTGCTCTTGGGCCACTGTCTTCAGGTCCTTTACCTACAGTATTTTGGTCATTCCTCCCAGCAGCTCCAGGTTAGAGATGTTAGTATCCCCATATGAAAGGGAGGAAACAAAGGTTTGGATAAGTGCCTTGCTCCACTAACAGATGGTGGAGCTGGAGTCTGAAGCCCAGTCTGAGGCTAAAACCCTTTTTCTTTGTTTTCTGCTTTCCAGGAAACATCATTATCACCAACGATAAGACAATAACAGAATCCCCTGCCCCTTAGTCCTTCCCCCTCGCCTGTCAAGTTAGGAGAGACTGCCATTCTCAGCAAACAGCCCAGCAGTAGGAAACGGGCAGCAGGTACCTGCCTATCCTAATAACCCACTGGAGTGTTACATTTTTTGTATCTTCTCCTCCCATTTTTTTTTTTTTTTTTTGAGCAGAGTTGATCCCATTTATTCAAATGTTTACCTCAGTTCAGTCTCCTAAATATTTTCCTAATGTGGCCACTTCTCTCCATCTTCACTGCCACTCCCAAGTTCAGGCCACCATCTTGTCACTCCTATTAGTTTCCTGTGGCTGCTGTTAACAAATCACTACATACTCGAGTGGCTTAAAACCACAGAAATATATATCCTCACAGTTCTGGAGGCCAGAAGTTCAAAATCAGTATCCCTGGGTCTAAATCAAGGTGTTGGCAGGGCCGCACTCCCTCCAGAGACTCTAGGGGAGAATCTGTTCCTTGCCTCTTCCAGCTTCTGGTGGCCCTGGCATTCTTTGGCTTGTGGCCACATCACTCCAGTATCTGCCTCTGTGGGCAGATGGCCTCTGCTCTGTGTGTGTCAAGTCTCTGCCTCGCTCTTATAAGGATACATGTGATTGCATTTAGTGCCCATTGGATAATCCAGGATAATCTCCCCATCTCAAGATTCTCAATTAACTCACATTTGCAAAGACTCCCTTTTTTGCCATATAAGGTAACATTTATAGGTTCCGGGGATTAGGATGTAGATCTCTTTCGGGGGGACCATTTTTCAGCCTATGATACCCCTAGACTTTTGCAACCTCACTGCTTCCTGTCCTCTACTCTGCAGCCTGTGTTCCTTTAAATAAGCAGTTCATGTCATGGTCTGCTTTCAATCTCTGAGGTGGTTCCTCCGGCCCTCAGGACTGTCCTCTGTTCCCTGATACAGCCCTTCCTCTGCCCACTCTTCCCTTCCTCATTATATCCTCCCATGCTCAGCTTCTTCCAGTTCCTTGGAGGAGCTGGATTTGCTCTCTCCTGTGGGCCTTTGTGTGCTCCTCTGCCCACGACCCTTGCCTACCTGCTCTCTTTATGTTTGGCTCATGTGAGGTCATCTTCAGTTCTCATTTAGACTTGGGACTTTGCTTCCTCCAGGAAGGCTTGCTGTTCCCACACTGGGCTCGGTCTGCCCTTCCGTGTGTTCCATCTGAGCGCTCAGCTGATGCAACAGGTGCCCTATCATGTGCCCTCGTTGTTCACGGATGTGTCCCCTGCATTAGGCACAGTGCCTGATACACAGGAGACTTAATAAATACTTGTCGATGAGAATACCCACAGAAGGGGAACCTCTCCATCCACTCTACCAAGAATAATACTACAACAAAGAGCACTCACTCAGGTGGAAGAAATTATATGTGTGAATGCCAGAAGTTCCCACAGATCATTATTTTTAAGTAAAAATCAAGAATCATGTAATTATGATATAGAAGAAAATATTTTTATGCTTATTATTCTGTTTTCTTTCAGGCTGTTCCTGTGTTTCTCACTTTGCATAATGTAGCTGAAGTTATCATCTTTGGATACCAGAGGTGTTTTCGGAAAGAGGTAAATGATCATGCAAAATGCTACTTTCATTCCCTTGCTTTAAATTGCAAAGAAGCCCTTTTCTTTTCATGGCCCAAATTAGTGTCTTCCTTTTCCTGCCACCAGTTTCCTGTCAAGACTGCCTGACGGTGGTCACTAATTTCAGGCAACACGGTTTGGACATAGCTTTAGTTCACCAGACATACGTGGGAATGCTTGTTGGTGCAAATGGAACTCGCCTGCAGGCCAGGGCCAAATCAGGCCCTTGGGAGAGAGAGGAACCTGCCCAGGGCTGGTGCTGGCACTGGCTGGGGGTGGAAGTGCATGGCAGACTTCCACACGGGCACCGGTGCTCTAGCCCAGCAAGGGAAATCATTTTGTTTCCAGTCTCTGCTCTACCTTATACCTGCTAGAGCGAGTCATTCCCCTCCTGCTCCTCCGTCTGTGAAAGGCATGACAATGACACCCAACTCATAGAGTTGTTGGGAGGATGCAGCAGCCACCCACGTGTAAAGTGCTTCCAACAGTTTCCAGCACGTAGTAGGTGCTCTGTGCATCAGCTATGTTTATTAATATTGTTAGTGGCGGTTTTAATTTGGTCCTTTCTTCGGGAGTTCCTTTCTTCTAACATCTGCCCATTTGGTTTCATATCAAATTTTGGAACTTTTTAAACTACAGAGAGGTTAGCTGACTGCTTCAGGCCACACACCCCTTACAGATGTGCGGGAGACAGAGGTGTCCTTCCCGTGGGCTGAGTCCACCACCACACCTGAGCTCCCTCACCACCACACCTGAGCTCCCTCTGTCATTCCCTCGGCTCCTTGGAGGTGGCATCCTCGGTTATCCCCTCCTTCCTGTATGGTGACCCTCTCCTTCCCTGCTGGCTCATTTCCCTCAGTCCCCTGAGGATGGAACAGGCTCTGGGAGACTGACTCCCGTTAGCCCAACCCTGGAAGGGTGTGTTTGCAAAATCAACCCTCAGATGGGGACGTCAGCAAGCTCGTTGCCTGTGCATCCACCTCCACCTCTGCCTCATCTCAGCCTTTCCCTTCTTGGACACAGGCCTTAAAGAGCGCAGGGCTTTATGCTGTCCACGTCCTCTTGTCCTTCTCACCTTTACCTACTCCTGCTTCTGCCCCTGCTGTTTACCTGAAGTTGCTCTGGCTGAAGTCATCAATGGCTTCATCTCTGCAACTCCTCGTTGGCTTTTCTGGAATCTCTTGGCCCCCTTGGCCTTCATGACCCTGCACACTGCCTGCTTCTCTTCCTGAGTCTCGGGCTCTTCCTTCACAGCCACCATCCTTCTCTTCTTTTTCCTTTGTCTGCTTCTTCAAGGTCTCCTAGGGCTATGTCTCAGGAGCCTTCTGTTTACTTGGGATGACTCCCAAGTGCCCATCTCCAGTCCAGACCTCTTTCCTGAGCTCAGGTCCCCGACAAGGCCCCAGGGCCTGATGTCATCTGGCTGTCCCTGGGTATTTGAAATGCAAAGGGATCAAAGTGCAGTAGATCTGTTCCCCCAGACCTACTTCCTACTTGGTAATCCAAATCCTGTTCATCGTCACCCAAGTCAGAAGCCAGGAGTCACCCTTCCACCCACATTCAGTCTGTTACTGAATCTGTCCTCTCTGCTTCCCCCCACTGCTGCTGCCACCTTAGCTCAGGTCCTCATCTATGTTTCACGGCTGCCCCACTGGGGGCCAAGGAATGAGAACTTGATCCCCTGAGCTCTTGGGGCAGCTGGGGAGTGCCTGGAGGGAGCAGCCCTGGGTTTATCCAGTTGTTTTCCATGCAGGCTGTCCCATGACAAAGGCAGGGAGGTGGGGGCCTCAGCACTTTTGGCCAATCTCTGTGCAGTTGTAGGCTTCTGGGCTCCCCAGGGAGGCCAGGCAGCTTTCTCTGACGTTTTACTCACTGTACCCTTGTGCAGTGTCCGTATTTCATCAGTTCTAATGTGTGCTTCTTTTTTTCATATTTTAACCTATCTAAAACTGGGAGGCTCTTTCAATCACTGATGTGTCCTGGTGTCATTTTTCCCCCTTTCTTTGTAGTACATAAAATAAGGGGAAATTTTACAGTCAGTGGCGTCTTGTGTAAGACATGGCATAGTTTTCCCTGAATCTCCGGCTGCTTCCTCTGAATCCTCCAATGGTGGGGACCACATGATGGCTCTCTCCCTAGCTCTGGGCTCAGCCCCCAGAACTGGAGCTGAGCTAAATAGTCACTAAATAGTCACTGAGGGTTCAGGTTCAGAAACTTCCTGAGAGTTAACTTAGCTCTGGGAGACTGACTCCTGACACTCACATTCCAGAAAGCCCTCTTGTTCACCAAAGGGGTACTTTCTTATGAACGGAGAAATGAAAATTTACCTGGCCTAGGGCCAAGATTGAGGCTTCTCCAGAGGGTTTTGCTTCCTGATAGACAAGTCAGATCCTATAGATGAGGGTGAGTGCAGGACTCAGGGTGAGGGAGTCCTCCAGGGAGAGTTCCATCCAGCAGGGTCCCCTCTTCTCTGGAGACCAGGGTCACATATCTGGCTGTGAGTGCCTGTCCCTGGAAATAGGTGGATGAACAGCACAAGATTTTGAATCTTCACCTCCATTTCATCACTAACACAAAACATCATTTCCTGTCAGGGAAAATTAGAAAACAATTGAGCTGAGTGCAGGACTCAGGGTGAGGGAGTCCTCCAGGGAGAGTTCCATCCAGCAGGGTCCCCTCCTCTCTGGAGACCAGGGTCAGATATCTGGCTGTGAGTGCCTGTCCCTGGAAATAGGTAGATGAACAGCACAAGATTTTGAATCTTCACCTCCATTTCGTCACTAACACAAAACATCATTTCCTGTCAGGGAAAATTAGAAAACAATTGAGCGCGGAGGGTATTTTTTTAGTTATTAAAAAAAAATCCACCTTTCTTCCCTTTATAAATGTAATAAGGCATAAGAAGTTATAGAAAATGCAGAGGGAATGCCCCACACCTTCCTCCCTGAGGACACCACTCTATTTCAGACTTTTTCCCAATGTGCATATATAGATGTATTTACACAAATGGTAAAATACATCCGGTTTTTCCATTTAAAAATTTGTGAGGAATCTCTTTTCGTGTCATCCTTTGACACTGGAGGAAGCATAATATGTTGGCCAGTCCTGACCTGTAGACTTTCAGGGGGTTTCCAGCAGTTTAGGATAAAATCTGCTGTGGGTTGAAGAGTGCTGTGGTATGTTCTCAATGTGACTTCATCCCTGGTCACACAGCCAGAGCCTTTATGAGGGGATCCCACATGAGGAAAACAGTTGCATGCCACCTCACAGATGGTTACATGGTACAGTGAGGGTTATTTAGTTCATTATGTGTAGATTTTATTGGAGTCAATTTTGGAAAGTAAAGTCGGCCTCCTTGTGATCTCATTCCCAGATTATTATGACAAACTCTCTCTGGAGCCTGTAGTTCATTTTCAGCACCCACAACTAGTTCTTTGTGGACACATGCACACACATGTAGTTTGACTGTAAAGTAATGTGTGGCTTGTGAAATTAATCTTACTACCTTGCAGATATATTTATCACGGTTTAATATCAGCATACTGCTGTTGTATTCATTTGTTGTTCAGTATTTATTAAGTAGATACTAAGTGTCAAACGTTTTTTAGGCCTTCTCCAGCTGCAGAGATGTAGAAGACACATTTATTACTCTCACAGAACTCAGGATGGAGTGGAGGAGATGACATGTAAACAGGGGCTTTGACTTCCATAGAGTGTCCTATGGGTGGGGACAGTGTTGGGGGTGGACAACCAGTAAGTCTGCTTGGAGGGGCAGGGAAGTCTCCCCCAGAGGAGGAGATGACATGTAAACAGGGGCTTTGACTTCCATAGAGTGTCCTATGGGTGGGGACAGAGTTGGGGGTGGACAACCAGTAAGTCTGCTTGGAGGGGCAGGGAAGTCTCCCCCAGGGGGCTAGATTTGTGCCGAGTCACACAAGATGGGTAGAAGTTTCCAGCTGGACAAGGAGAAAGGCACTCCAGACAGGCAGAAGAAACAGCAAATGAAGACTACTGGCTTTGGGGCCAGCGGGGGTGTCACTGCAGGACTGGCAAGTGTGCTGTGGCAGAAAAGGGCCTGGTTCTAGAAACAATCTGGAGCCAGATCACATGGACCCAACCTGGTGACCCTGGGCATTTTCCCTAATTTCTCAGTACCTCAAGTGCCCTTATCTGTATGTAACATATAACCCATGACTGTTAATTAGCCCATAATTAAGTGAGTCAATCCATGTAGAGCTCTTGTGACAGTGCCCAGCACAGAGTAAGTGGCACTCAGAGTAAGTTAGCTAACCCAGAGAAATGTAAGCTATTTATTGTTATTTTTGGCGATATGACTTTTGAGGAGTTAAACTGACCCATTCAGAATGCTGATATATCATTAGAACTTATTACGAGGTTATTTTTGGACTAAGGTCTTGAAAAGGTGATTGCCCCCACGTTTATTCCTCAGCTGTTTTCAGAGTCCTGGGGGAATGGAGCTAAGTCATGAACCTATTGTTTGTTTTTTACTCTCCATATCTCAGTTTCTGGGCTCTTTAGGTCAGAGGGAATTTAAATGAAAAAAAGAACCTCTCCTGCGTGGAAGGGGTGAACTCTTTCAGGCACTGGATTGATCAGTTGCCCTCTAGTGTAAGCCTAGGAACGCTTACTGGGTAGACATGTTATTCAAGGAAAACTTGGAGCATCCCTTTAGTCTCTGTCTTCTCTTTTTCTACTCTTCCATCAGACTGTTGAGATTTCAGTTATATTTAGCCCAGAATCTTTTAGTCCCATGTTTTACTGTAATGGGGCAATCAGGCAGATATTCTGAGCCAAATCACCTTTGCCCTGGCTGTCTTCTCTGTGCTGAAGGGCCAACTGTTCCCTCCAGGCGGCAGTACAGTCACGGTGGGCCTTGCTTCCTGTACTCTGCAGAGGCAGGGTTGGGCAAAGATCAGAGAGGAAAGATTGCAGAGATGCAAGCCACAGCTTTGCACGCGAATAGAATCTGTTTATTACACCAATGAAAACTTGGTTATTTGGAAGCACATAAAAACTCAAGTGCCTTCACAGCAAACCACATATGTTTCTCTTGTCAACTCTTCACTTCTAAACAATGTTTATACTTCACACTTTATCTGAACCGGTATCAAAAATTGTAGTTTGTCCCCAACTAGCAAAATAATCCTTCTGAAATGTTCAGAATTAATCTGTCATTCTACTTGTTCTTTCCCTCTATCAAATAGAGAAAAATCTGTGCTACCTCCTGCAAAAACTTCCTCAGTGCAAAGGACAAATTCCCTTAAATTAATTAAAAGGAGTTGATAAGGGTAGATCCAAATCGTCATTAAAACAAGCTTTAAATGCCAACTTTACATTTCCCCAGTCTGCCCTTTTTTCCTTCTCTCTACGGGTGGAGTAAAATGTTCCTTCTCTTTTTTTCGTTTGTTACTTCATATTCACATTATACTGGATAATTTACAGGGCTGCTCAGAGTCACAGCTGGATTAATGAAAGAGACATTTAAAGAGACAGAACTAGGGGAGAAGTTGAACAAGAGCTTAATTTCTTTTTTTTTGTACAGGTTATATAATGATTTCTCTCTCTCTCCTTTCCTTGGTAAGATTTCGAGGGCTTGGCCCTGACGTCATTTTGTTTTTCTTGGGTAAACATAGTTCTAATGCTGAAAGTGCTTTGCTGAAGTGACTCACCTCTGGGACTGAGTCATTCTTCATTTGGTCTCTGCAGAAAAAGCCTCAATAAATGCTCAAGTGCAGCAAGCTATTAAGCCCTCTAATGAAATTACTCATAGTTTATTTGCCTCTTGATCTAAATGTTTTCTGTTGGGGAGGAAAAAGAGTTTTTAAAGACTAATTATAAGTCTCTTTACTTTCATACAGAAAACATCTCCTGCAAAGATCTGTAGGTAAGTTAAAAAAAAAAAAAAACAACCCTCTAAAATAGAAAATTTAACCTGATTTTAACTTGGATGATAAACTGTTGAAGATTCATACTCTGGGAGCTGACAGAAGAATTTATTACAAATACTAATGTGTTCCTATTTTGTATCTTCTAAAGTTTATTTTTTCTCGTCCTTTTTTTTGTGGGAAATTTTATTCGTAAGGGGGAAGCAAACACAACCAATCCATACTAGATTTCAGCCATTGAAGCCTAAAACTTCACTAATAGTTGCTCAATACTGATGAAGAATGAAAATGAAAAACATGGAAATGACTTAAAAATTTAAAAATAATGTTTGCAGTTTATTGGGTCTTTAAGATTTTCCATTGTGGAAAAAGCACTAGCCTGTTAGTCCCGGGATCTGATTGTGGTCCTGGGCCATAGCAAAGTGATCATGGGCAGGTTTCGTTAACCCCTGTGCCTCAGTTCCTTAGCTGGAGCATGGGCCAGTCTGTCCTCTCATGCAGGCCTGCAGTATTCTAATTCTAACCTGGGTTCCTTGCTCTCTGACTGCTTCCTGCTTTCTCTGCAGTAGCTAAGAAGCTCAGTCCTATACACAGAAAACCAACAGAGATGCTTTAGTAGATGGATTTAGGATTTTTGTTTTGGGTATTTCTGGGCTTTCATCTAAACTTCCCTTCTTTTTTGCCTTTACTATAGGCCGCAACTTGAAAGAAAAACAAACAAAACCTCAGGACTCAAGCTCTTGTTTAGAAGGACAGGTGTTAAAGATGCGTTAGAGCCCACTAATAGCTGATATAATCAGATGTGGCTCAAGGCCAAGTGTGGTGAGAAAACCAGGCAGCTCTGCCCTAAGGTGTTGTCTGTTGGAGGGGATCTCCAATGCTCATTCCCTGTCGATGGGGAAGCATCCCGTATTCTATAGCGACTTCCACTATAGGCAGACACTAACCTTGTTAGGATTCTCCCTTCCTTCTACCTAAAACTTGCCTATTCCTGTGCAGTCCCAGGAAGCCCCCTGACAATCTCCCTTCCACTCCCCACACTCTTTGCCTCGGATTCTTCTCTAGGTCCTTCACGTGTGTGCCTTGAGAGTCAGCAAAGCTATAGGAGTAGGGTGGCCTATTGTCGTGACCTTTCCAAGACTGTGGGGCCCCAGCTCCGAGGTCCCCTCTGTGCCTGTCCTCCTACCTCTGGCCCAGCTGACCCTACTAGTCTGTCAGGTACAGTACACAACTACATGTGGTTACAGCAGAGAGGACTGTCAGAATTGATGAGCATCACTGTTTTCAGAGAACTAAGATTATAAATATCAGGTTGTTGCACATTGCATAGGTATAATATGAGGGTACTTTGAAAAGTTCATGGAAAGATTCGTATTATCTTTTTTATTTTTTGGCAGCTGGCTGGTACAGGGAGTGAACCTTGGACCTTGGTGTTAGTACCATGCTCTACCCAACTGAGCTAACCAGCCAGTCTTGTATTTTAATTCTATTTTTCCACAAACTTTTTTTTTTTTTTGTCTTTTTTCGTGACCGGCCACGGATCGCAACCCTCAGTGTCGCGCCCATACCGT